ATGAGGCCACTGAAGGTTTTTGTAAAGGATAAGGGCATAACAGTCTGAAGGAAGAGACTGGAGGAAGAAGAGACTGTTAGAAAACAAATACAATGGTACACTGGAGGGGTGTGAGGGTGGGGCAATAGATATGGGAGGAGGTGACAGATGAAACATTGCAGAGGGTGATTCCATGAAATCCAGCAATCATTTGAGGTGGCAGGAGATGAGGGACCCAATGATGATTATAGGGTTTCAAGGGTAATGAACTCAGAAAATAGTGACACTTAATTAAAATAAACTGGGAACTTTAAAACAGAATTTGGGAAAGGTCATTGAGTGGCATCATAGGCAAAGAGGGCATGGAGCCAAGACAATAATCTTACCTATTACAGTTTGGGAAGGCTGTGACAGAGATACCCAGCAGATAGTTGGGAACACGGAACTAAACTTCAGGAGAGACAAGGATGGACTACAGAGAATCATGCAGAGTGATGACAACTGAACACAAGAGGGTGGATAAGATTTTCAAGAAACAAACAGAAAAGGTTGAAGACACAATCTTGGAGAATGCCTACCTTAGGAAGCAAAGAGCAGAGTAGGAACAGTCAGGTAGGAGTGCCTGTATTATACAGGATCACAGAAGCCAAGAGAAGAAAATTCAGAGGAGGAGGTTGACAGTGTCAGATTCTTCAGACAGCCAAGGATAGGGAGCACTGCAAACAAGCGATTCTATTTGGAAGTTAAAAAGCCATTAGCATAGCCTGAGGAAATAGTGTAATGAATGCACAAAGATACACAAAGATGTTCATCGCAGAGATATTTATAATAAAGAAAAACTGGAAACAACCTAAACGGTCAAAAAAGGAAGTATGTTGACTAATTAAAATAAATTAAAAGTAAATTACAATTCTATATGTTCATTTAAAATGAGGACCTAGATCTGTATTTTTGACAGAAAACGAAGATACAATACATTCCTAAGTGAGAAAGCCAAATTTTAGATTAACGTATATAAGAATGAGCTAATTTTTATTTTTTTAAATACAGCTAGATTTTTTAAAAAAAATAAGATGGCAAATAATAAAAAAGCCTGTAAGAAGACACAACGAAGGGCTAACCATCATTATCATCACACGGCAGGTTTGGTTACTTCATTTTTATTTAGCACCTAAAAACTATGAGGCAAGTACTATCAAATATTAATTTTCCTGAAAAAATGATATTTATTTTTTGCTTGTCTATGTTCTCCAATTTATCTACAAAAAATCTTAGTTACTTGATAAAATTAGTTTTTTAAAAGAGGTCATTAGTGACTCTTGAATGAACATTTCGGACTAAAGATGGGGAGGAGAACCAGCCTGCAAGGGATTTAAGAAGAAAGGGCAGCCTGGCTGCATTGGTTCACACCTTCAACTCCAGCACTTTAAGAGGCTGAGGCAAGAGGACTGCTTGAGGCCAGGAGTTTGAGACTCCCTGGGCACAGTGAGACCTTGTCTCTACTAAGAAAAAAAAAAACAGCTAATGGTTGCATTTTTAGTAGAGACAAGTTTTCACGATGTTGGCCAGGTTGGTCTCAAATCCTGACTTCAAGTGATCTGCCCACCTCAACCTCCTAAAGTGCTGGGATTACAGGTGTGAGCCACCCCGCCCAGCTGGGCTTTCTTCTTAAACTCTCTTAAGAAACCTGGCTAGAAGAGGACAGAGTAGCAAGTCACTCTGTCCTGTGCTACATATGGCAATGTGGACCTCAGCCAGTCCTCACGGTCATCACTGAGCAGACATGCTTCGCTCGGAGGAATCCTGTAGCCACAGTGGCAAAAAGGATTCTAAATCCAGGACTCCGTATGGCAGTTTCGGATTTATAAAAGTATGAGAGAACATTTCCATGAAGGGCAGTGGCTTAATGTGAGCTTCACTGAGAACTTTCTCCATGAGAAGAAACATATTTTGATGGAAGTATATGACTTCAGACTTATTCAGCATTAAGTTTGTTGGATGATAAGATAACCAATGGCCTTTAACTATTAATTAAAGGCTACAAATTCTTCATCTCTATATCTCTTTTTGATCACAGATTCCAAACTGCTACCCAGAAAGTGTTTATTCCAGAAGGCTAAGATCCTCAGTCTTGAAATTTACAGTTTAGAACAGATCTATGGTTTTCAAACGGCTGAGCACCACACAGAAGTACCTGGGCAGGTTCTGAGGGTTTTTGTTTTGTTTAGAGCTTTATTGGGGCGTATTTCACATACCATAAAATTCCCCTATTTAAAGTGTACAGATCAGGTCAGACATGGTGGCTCACGCCTGTAATCCTGGCACTTTGGGAGGCTGAGCCAAGCAGACTGCTTGAGCTCAGGAGTTAGAGACCACCCTGAGCAACACGGTGAAACCCCATCTCTACTAAAATGCAAAAAATTGGCTGAGCATGGTAGTGGGTGCCTGTAGTCCCACCTACTCAAGAGGCCGAGGCAGGAAAATTGCTTGAACCCAGGAGGCAGAGACTGAAGTGAGCCAAGATGGTCCCACTGCACTCCAGCTTGGGCAAGAGTGAGACTCCATTTTACAAAAAAAGTGTACAGGTCAGTGTGTTTTGATAGCTTCAACCCATCACCACAATCTCATTTTATAATGTTTCCAACACTCCAATAAGAAGCCCTTACTTATTAGCTGTCATTCCCTTTTTTTTTTTTTTTTTTTTTTTGCGACGGAGTTTTGCTCTTGTTACCCAGGCTGGAGAGCAATGGCGCGATCTCAGCTCACCGCAACCTCTGCCTCCTGGGTTCAGGCAATTCTCCTGCCTCAGCCTCCTGAGTAGCTGAGATTACAGGCACGTGCCACCATGCCCAGCTAATTTTTTGTATTTTTTTAGTAGAGACGGGGTTTCACCATGTTGACCAGGATGGTCTCGATCTCTTGACCTCGTGATCCATCCTCCTCGGCCTCCCAAAGTGCTGGGATTACAGGCTTGAGCCACAGCGCCCGGCCCTGTCATTCCCTTTTTCATCTCCCCTACCACCTCCCTACATCCCCGCTCTAACCCTACCCTCACCCAAGCCCCACACAACTGTGTTTTTGAGCTTTTTAAATCTATACATGTCCAGGCTCCTATCCTGAACCTCCAAAATCCAAATCTTTACAGAGGCAGTGCTAGCACCTGCACTAGCATCTGTCCTTGCTAGTACACTTCCCAGGTGATTCTGATGAGGTGCCCGTCAAGAGCCGGGGAGCTTGCACTCAGTAAGAACTCAGTAAACACTTGAGTGAGTATACAAGTGAGAATGAAGATTAGAGGTTGCTAAGAACCCTTCTGGCTCTAACAAGTAACACCAGTGATAAAGTAAACAGCTAATTTTTTTAAATTACAGTTATTAGAAGGTAGGGACTGAACCCTTTTTTACTTATTCAAGTGTAGTTATTCTTCTAGGACCACTTCAGCCTGTGTCTGAAGAGACTCTTACATCCCCAGTCCTTGATGGATGTAGAAGGCAACCAGGCAGGATCTGACAGCAAGATGCCAGACAGCAAGTTCCAGGACCATACCATTTCAACTGCCTTTGGCCCTGACTGTTATTGCTGACAATCAAAGCAACCCTCTAGTGGCAAAGCAAGTAGAAAGAAATGTATATCTCCTCTCAAATTAAAGAGGAGAGAAAGCTGACTTAACACATTACACAGAGCAACTATCACACTAAGATTTCAGTTACAAGACTTCAACTAAGATATTCAATGTCCACAACAATGAGAAAATCTGAATTAAAATACATTTTTTAGGCTGGGCATGGTGGCTCACACCTGTAATCCCAGCACTTAGGGAGGCCAAGGTGAGCAGATCACTTGAGGTCAGGAGTTTAAGACCAGCCTGGCCAACATGATGAAACCCCATCTCTACTAACAATACAAAAATTAGCTGGGCATAGTGGCATGCAGCAGTAATCCTAGCTACTCGGCAGTGTGAAGCAGGAGAATCACCTGAAATCAGGAGGCAGAGGCTGCAGTTAGCTGAGAATGTGCCGCTGTACTCCAGCCTGGGTGACAGAGTGAGACTCCGTCTCAAAAAAAAAAAAAAAAAAAAAAAAGTATTATTTAAATGGCTGCAAATAAAAAGAAGTGTTTTCTTTTTTCTTTTTTTTTGTTTTTGTTTTTGTCTTTGTTTTTGTTTTGACACAGAGTTTTGCTCTTGTTGCCCAGGTTAGAGTGCAACAGTGTGATCTCAACTCACCACAATCTCCGCCTCCCAGGTTCAAGTGATTCTCCTGCCTCAGCCTCCCAGGTAGCTGGGATTACAGGCATGTGCCACCAAACATGGCTAATTTTGTATTTTTAGTAGAGATAGGGTTTCTCCATGTTGGTAAAGCTGGTCTTGAACTCCCGACCTCAGGTGATCCACCTGTCTCGGTCTCCCAAAGTGCTGGGATTATAGGCATGAGACATCGCACCTGGCCAAGAAGTGTTTTCAAAGAGAATGAAAATAAGGGCAGTGATTAGATGTATTGTAATTGGGTCTAGAAGAGGAAAATCATGTACCAACAAACGCTAAACGAAAATGTTTCTGAATATCAACCTGAACTCTGAGTACACAAGTTCCCAAAAGAAAATGCTAATGCAAAGAGCAAAATCATTACCTGATAGACTGTAAATGAGACACTAAACCTCAGAGAAAGTATCAATATCTGCTACAGTCCACCAGAAGCTCATATTTCCTTATGATACAAACTCATGTTCCCTGCCCCCTTCCTCTTTTTCCTTCTGGGTCTGAATACAATAACATTTTAGAACTTTTCTTTTCTACGGAATTAAGTCTAGACAGCTTGGTCTAGGCACTAAGATGGTCCTGGTAAGCTAGCTGTGATCAATGGCATGATCCAAACCATCAAACCTGCTTCCATCCAACAGTCAGCAACTAACTTTCATGAGGAATAAAATTCCTCTTCTGCTGCAGAGCAGCAAAGGAGTCCTGAGCTGGTGTGTTCCCAGCACAGGGACAGCCTGAGGTAGGTAGGAATCATGGCACCTACCTCTTTAGCTCTGCAATGAGCAGTGCAGTGCAAGGAACTCCTAGGGTCATCAGAGAGATGTTGTTGATGGCGGGCTTGACGAATGCTAGGCACGTTGTAACTGCAGACAGGACACAGACCACCACCTTGAACCTGCCCCTGAATCCATGAAGCAAAACCAAATCCATTAGAAAAGGAGTTCTTGTTTGTTTGTTTGTTTGTTTAATGTTGGCAAGCTACAGGCATTGCCAGAAATGCAAGCCATAAAGAAACTCTGCACTAAGTACTAAGGTTCAAAAAGCCATTCACACTCACTGGCTTAGGAATTCCACTTCAAGTAACTTATCCTTAGGAAATAATTAGAGGTTTTCAAAATATTTAGCCATAAGAATGGTAAAATTACAGTTAACCTACATCTCTGAAAGTGAGTTATGGATAACTGTTTCCTTTGTGTGATTCTTCTGTATTTTTTTCTTTCCTTTCTCTCTCTTTTTTTTTTTTGAGACAGAGTACAGTGGCACAATCTTGGCTTACTACAACCTCCACCTCCTGGGTTCAATCAATTCTCCAGCCTCAGCCTCCCAAGTAGCTAGGATTACAGGTGTGTGACAAAATGCCCAGCTAATTTTTGTATTTTTAGTGGAGATAGGGTTTCACCATGTTGGCCAGGCTGGTCGCAAACTCTTGACCTCATGATCCACCTACCTCGGCCTCCCAAAGTGCTGGGATTACATGGGTGAGCCACCATGTCCAGCCGATTTTTCTATATTTTTTCAAACATTTGATTTCTCTCTATTTTTTCAGACAAACTACAGCAGGGTTTAACAATTTCTTTCTATAAAGGGTTTTTGGGTTTGGGCTGGGCATGGTGGCTCACACCTATAATCCTAACACTTTGGGAGGACAAAGTGGGAGGACAGCCTGAGCCTTGAAGTTTGTGGTTACAGTGAGCTATAACCTCAACATAAAATAAATTATATAAGTATTTAATTAAATATATGTTTATTTGTAAGTATAAAGAATATATTATATGAATATATTTATATGATATATAACCATACAGTTATGCTATATGGTTACACATAATTATAAATACATATTTAATCAAAGATATACATTAATAATTAAATGTGTATAATTATATTAAATAAATATTAATTATATTTAATAAATTATACACACACACACACACACACACACACAAACACACACACACACAGGTTTTGCAGGTCCTAAGGTCTCTGCCACAGCTACTCAATTTTGCCATTACAGAGAATAAGTAAATGAATGGGCATGGCTGGATGCTGATAAAACCTGATTTGCAGGTCGGGCGCGGTGGCTCAAGCCTGTAATCCCAGCACTTTGGGAGGCCAAGGCGGGTGGATCACGAGGTCAAGAGATCGAGACCATCCTGGTCAACACGGTGAAACCCCGTCTCTACTAAAAATACAAAAAATTAGCTGGGCATGGTGGCGTGTGCCTGTAATCCCAGCTACTCAGGAGGCTGAGGCAGGAGAATTGCCTGAACCCAGGAGGCGGAGGTTGCGGTGAGCCGAGATCGCGCCATTGCACTCCAGCCTGGGTAACAAGAGTGAAACTCCGTCTCAAAAAAAAAAACAAAAAACCTGATTTGCAAAACAGGACCCTTTTGGCCCACAGGACATAGTTTGTCACCCCCTGTTCTACAAAGTGAACATGTATAACTTTCATAAGTAAAACAGAGACCATTCACAAACCATAATGCATCCTTGTTTAAAAGAAAATTTGTCCTATGTGTCTAGCACACCCAAATAAAGTTTTCAGAAAAAATTTCAATAGACTAAGAAAAATAGTCTATATTTACTGACAGCCTACAAGCCTAGTATGCACAAGAATTTACATCAACAAGTTTCTGAAATGACAAGTCTCAGACAAATAATCGATAGCATCCTCACACCCTTCAGTGGAGGTCATTTCAGTAGAAAGAGCCAGAAGTGGCGACGTGATCTTAGACATGCTCTTTCTTTTCTCCCTGGGACTCATTTCCTTATCTGTAAAATGAAAAGGCTGGACTAGATGATTTCCAAGGCCTCATCCATGACTTAAATTTAGGAGTACACGATTTTCCTGAAGTTTCTGTTATTCCTCATTAGCACAATTTACTTTGGCCAAGAGCCCTGGAACAGGTCACAGTTAGGAAGCCAATCTGAATGAAATTCCATTATAAAAAAATCGAAGGGCGTTGAACCCTCAAAATACAAATTTATCTCTTAAATAGGAAAGACATTCATCATCAAGGCACAGGAAATCATTGACCAAGCTGCCAACTTTCAGACTGGAATGAATAGGAATTATAGCTCTGAACCTCTACCAGAGGAAAAAATATATGTGGGAAAGACTCCAAGCAACTAATCCTCAGGAGAGGCATGTTTTTCTCCTGGCCTTGCCTGGTGTTCTTCATCTACTGGATGAAAGGCCGCCTGCTCAGGGTGAGGGCCCACAGCCATCACACACAGGGCCCCTGGTGACCCACAATAACTCTTCCACTGGAATTGAGGGTCTGTGACTCATGCCAAGGCAATTTGACCTTTCTTGGTAGGATAAACACATAATCAGAAACGTCCAAAGTGCATCACCTCTCTATATCCAGTGGTTTAGGAATTAGGCACAGGTCAGACAGGGCAACAGTGATTCAAGGCACAGGAGTTTCAGTGAGACTGATATGCATTCAAAGCCTGCCTCCATTGCTTACTAGCTGTGAGACCTTTGGCAAGTAACTCAACTCTTTGAGGCTTTCCCACATAAAAATTAAGACATTGTGCCTCACAGTGTTCTTGGAAGCATTAACACAGTGCCTGGTACATGTTATGTGCTAATAAAATTCATTACTACTTTTATCCTTACCATCATTTTAAAAATAAATACTACTTTTTTGTTTTGTTTTTGCATTTTGTTTTGTTTTTTTGAGATGGAGTCTCTGTCACCCAGGCTGAAGTACAGTGGCACAATCTTGACTCACTGCAACCTCCGCCTCCTGGATTCAAGCAATTTTTCTGCCTCAGTGTCCTTTAGCTGGGACTAAAGGCATGTGCCACCAAAAAATAATTACTACTTTAAATAATATTATTGTTGTTGATATCATACTCTCAGAGAAAATGTGACTGAGTTGCTGTTGCAATCACCAAAGGCTCCACAGAGTACTGCCAAATGGTTTAAAGGCAGTAAGCTTGAAAACACATGCTTTCTGTTTTTTGGTTTTTGTTGTTGTGTTTTTTTGTTTTTTGTTTTTTGGTTTTTTTTTTTATTTTATTTTATTTTTTGAGACGGAGTTTCACTCTTGTTACCCAGGCTGGAGTGCAATGGCGCGATCTCGGCTCACCGCTACCTCCGCCTCCCGGGTTCAGGCAAGTCTCCTGCCTCAGCCTCCTGAGTAGCTGGGATTACAGGCATGTGCCACCATGCCCAGCTAATTTTTTGTGTTTTTAGTAGAGACGGGGTTTCACCATGTTGACCAGGATGGTCTCGATCTCTTGACCTCGTGATCCACCCGCCTCGGCCTCCCAAAGTGCTGGGATTACAGGCTTGAGCCACCGCGCCCGGCCTGTTTTTTGTTTTTTTGAGACAGAGTTCCCCTCTGTTGCCCATGCTGGAGTGTAACGGCTCAAGCTTGGCTCACTGCAACCTCCGCCTCCCAGGTTCAAGTGATTCTCCTGCCTCAGCTTCCAGAGTAGCTGGGATTACAGGTACCCACTACCACACCTAGCTAATTTTTATATTTTTAGTAGGGACGGGGTTTCACCATGCTAGCGAGGCTAATCTTGAACTCCTGACCTCAGGTGATCCATCTGCCTCGGCCTCCCAAAGTGCTGAGATTACAGGCATAAGCCACCACACCCAGCTGTGAAACATGTTTTCTTTAGAGGAGGCCAACTGCAGACACCTCCCCATGTCTGGTCCAGAAGGTGTACGGGAATGTGCTGGCCAACGAGAACATCCTGTGAACACAAGTTTCTGAAGCCAGGAGAAGTAAACGGAGGCCATGTGGCCAGCAGAAAGCCAGCCAGCCAGCCCAGCAGACCCCAGAGTCAACAGAGGCCCTGGGAAAAAGAGAGCTGGAAATATACAGGAGTAAGAGGCCCCAATAGCATGTTTTTCTAAACTGTGATTGATGACAGCCTCTGGTCCTGTTTTCAACTTTCCAGCCCAGTAGGGTTTCACACTGAAACACAAGGTCAGGAAACCCTTAGCACCACTGCTTCCTATATTCTCCAAACCAAAATCTAACAAGCCAGTACCATCATGATAATATTTTTATAGTAAAGCTGTTACTGTTATCATTAGCTACCCTTTAAAGCAGTCGTTTTCAAGCCTATACCCTGTGTCCCTTTTTACTTTGGTAAAATGTAAAACCAATTTTTACTTTTTAGGCTTGAAAACCACTATCATTGGCTACCCTTTACAGCAGTGGTTATGTTTTTGTTCTTCTGAAATGAAATGAAATTTATAGATGATAAAACCTCCCATCATAGTGGCCATCAAAATCATGTCCACAAACTTTCTAAATGTCCGGTAAGAACTGGAAATGTCCCTGGTTAAGATCCACTGCTATAAGCTACCAAAACATAATTTACTTAGAACAGCCAGCCCTTGATAGTTACAGCACTATAGCATTTGGTCATGAAAGAGACCTCAGAGAACTAGTCCAACCCTGTTATTTCATAACTAAAGCACTAAGGCGCCGGGCGCAGTGGCTCAAGCCTGTAATCCCAGCACTTTGGGAGGCCGAGGCGGGCGGATCACAAGGTCAAGAGATCGAGACCATCCCGGTCAACATGGTGAAACCCTGTCTCTACTAAAAATACAAAAAATTAGCTGGGCATGGTGGCGCGTGCCTGTAGTCCCAGCTACTCAGGAGGCTGAGGCAGGAGAATTGCTTGAACCCAGGAGACGGAGGTTGCGGTGAGCCGGAGATCACACCATTGCACTCCAGCCTGGGTAACAAGAGCGAAACTCCGTCTCAAAAAAAAAAAAAAAAAAAAGCACTAAGGCCCAGAGAGTTTAAGATTCCAGCCCCAAGTCATCCAGCAAGAATGCTAGCAAGGCGGGCAGATCCCAGACTGCTCCCTTGCCATTCAGGATTCAAAAACTAAAGTGGATTATAAAGTGAAGGCTCTCCTGAG